AACACTTCAGCTATAAATTAGAAATAAATTCTTGGCGGTTCACTTTTTGGCTGATATCTCGGTTTTCAGGAGTTTTGATCGAGGGGATGATGGGGGTAGCTTTTGAGTATTGGTTAATATAACAATCAACAATAACTAATTAGTAATAAAATATACCGCCAAGATGCGGCCTGTAACCCTTTTTAATGCCGATATATAGCTATAGCTATGCTAGGTTTACTGTAAAGTTAGCAGATTTATTGTTTCTTGTAAACTGCTGCAGCAATTAATTTATTCTTGGCGTAAAACCTCGACAATAATTAGCAATTTTTTGCGGTCCTCTTTTCTAGTTTCATCGTTTTTGACCAATATTTCGATTTTTCCAAGGATGACTTTTGCGCTAGGGTATCATGGGGTAGATTTTGTGGATTGTTCAATATACAAATCAATATGCAGCCAAGATGGGCTCTGTAGCCTTTTTCATTCATAAAGTTAGCATTGTTTCTTGGAAACTGTTGCAGCAATAAATTGTTTCTTGGCGTAAAACTTAGGCGTAAAACTTAAACAACACATTAGAGATATCTCGATTTTTCCGGGGTTGAGTTTTGCGTTAGGGGATGATGGGGTAGTTTTGGGGGAATTGGTTAATGTACCAATAAATACGAGCCCCTTCTTATATCACTTGACCCAACGTTAGATTGGTAAGAAAATTAAATTTTAGAAAACAAAAATAAAATCGCAGTACAAATTTTAAACAACATTTTTGAATTTTCTAATTATAGCAAATATTTTATAACGTAATGAAAACTGTTGATTAAACAGAATAATGTATACTTCTTATAGAATAATGTAGTTTTGTATCTTCTGACTATATTTCTTACACTACAGAGTGGCAACTGCAACATATTCACGGTTTCTGAATTGAATTTTTATAAGATACATTTGACATCAACTGTTTTGATGTCATTTTTTCATAGCTACCTCTGGATTTAACGTAATTATGAAAAAATTAACATATGTTGACATAAGTAAATGCATAGCCAGGGTTTAGTGATTTTTTTTTATTGTTGAAAATAAATAAAATAGGGGTAATATTTTAAATAAATATTAATAAAATAAAAACATGCAGAGTATAGTTTGTTTAGTAGTGACTAGCTAAATAGCCAGACTGGCCATTTAGCCAGTCACTACTTTTTTAAGTTCTTCCCAAATATTGGCTTTTTGGTTATCCATGGAACAAACAAGACCAATCAAGACATTTTTTTTAACTGGACTTACAAATTAAGGTTACTTTTCCAAATAAATTCTGTTAAGTAGTTATATACAATTTTGTTATTTAATGACAAAATGTTATATGTAACAAATATAACATTTTGTCATTAAATACAAACAACATAGGGTGGAAGGATTTTAGGTTTGATTAAATTTTTTATTAAGTCGTCAGTTTGTTGTATATATTTTGTACATTCAAAGAAAATGTGGTTTTAATCTGCAAATATACAGTTTACTATCATATTTGTATATCTTTACTTATTTCGTTTTTTGTTTTCACAGGAAATTCGGATCAAGATATGCAACAACTAGACCTCAATAATGGCAAGCAATACTGTGCCGCAAAGACTTTATATATTTCAGACTCTGATAAACGTAAACATTTTATGTTATCAGTGAAAATGTTCTATGGTTCGGGACATGATATTGGAGTGTTCCATAGTAAACGAATTAAAGTGATATCAAAACCTTCTAAGAAAAAACAAAGTTTAAAAAACGCCGATTTGTGTATAGCTAGTGGTACGAAAGTGGCTTTATTTAATAGGTTACGATCTCAGACTGTTTCTACGCGATATTTACATGTAGAAAACGGACATTTTCATGCAAGTTCAACGCAGTGGGGAGCATTCACGATACATCTTTTAGACGATAACGAGTCGGAGAGTGAAGAATTTCAAGTCAGGGATGGTTATATACATTATGGTTCAACTGTCAAATTAGTGTGTTCTGTTACGGGTATGGCTTTACCAAGGCTCATTATTAGAAAAGTAAGTTAAATTTTTGTAAGCGTTGTAACTAATATTACTATTAATTGTCCTAGTGCCTTCTCTTGTCGAAGATTTGCAACCATTTTGCCGAATTCGTATTTGTTTTGGAGCTTTTTCGGCAAATCGTTCTAGCCCAAACCTGCAAAATCTTGTTTTTTTTAAGCTAGAAGCATTTTATTCATCCTGGCACACGTTTGCTGTGAATCTTACTGTTGTTTCTCTTTACATGTACGAGATATGTCGTTTTTTTCCTTTTTTACGTTCTCTGCTCATTCGGCGAAGAACTTATAAGTTGGTGGCGTGGGAAGTCCAAAGTATTTGGACCAAATACTACCGTTTTAGACAAAAGCTACTACCTCTACAACGCAGCACATACACTTTACTATATCTTGTTAAAATATTTTAAATCAGCAAACTACATATAACCTGAAGACGAGCCCTTCGTTCTAACCCACAGACTTGGAGGGCCCGAATTTTTTTTATCGACATTTTCGGTATATAGTTCAGAGGTGGTATTTTGTTTCACAGCCACTTTGCCGATATAATCGATGAACGCGTTTCCCTATCCGCCACTTGGAGACACGTCTGGTGGGAGAGGCAACTCCACACAGAGTTTTTGAGTAAAAATAAAAAAAAAATCGGATGATAGATCAGATGAATAGGGAAGACTGGAGAAAAATTCTTGAGGAGCCTAGGACCACATAGGGTTGTAAAGCCAGAATGATGATGTGAAAAATGGCGAGCTACGTATCTTTTGTCCATTACATATATTAAAAACGGCAACTAAAATTTTTGGCGTGTCATCCTAAAACACATTATATTATATATCTTCAATGGCACTAGCTCAAATCGTACCTTTTTCCTCCTCAAAACTTGGCTGTCTTGCGCCTATCTCTGCAATCTTTCGGTCTTCATTTTTACTACATGACCAGCCCATCGAAGTCTATGAAGTTTAACGAATTCTGAGATCGGTGTCTGTATGAACAGTTGGTTCATGGCTCTACCTGGATGTCCATACTTCGTTTTCGTTAATACATCCAAATATCTTCCTTAGAATTTTTCTTTCAAATACTTCCATTTTTCTGTGCATTATGTCATCGCCCATGTCTCGCATCCATAACATACTTCTTTATGTGCCGTCTTCTACCGAAGGTTGACGACCATCATACGATAGGTTTCTCTGTTTTGTGCCGCATGAATTATGTTCGCAGCTTCTGGTATTTGAAACCATTCTCTCAAGTTTCAATCTTGCCTTCCACGATAAGCTGTAGCAGACTGTACTTATCATTACGGAACACATGGCCCAGGTATGACGCTTTCCTCCTTTTAACAGTTGTTAACAATTCCACCTCTTTACCCATTCGTCTTAATACCTCTGTGTTGGTCACACTGTCTGTCCAAGGTATTCTCAGTATGCGTCGATACAGCCACATTTCTAGAGCCGCTAACTTCTTTATAGTTGCTGCTGTTAACGTCCACCCTTCTACGCCGTAAAGTAGCGTAGAGAGTACGTAGCATTTCGTGGCGCGCCATCGGAGGTTAATGCTTAGGTTGCGGTTGCTTAAGAGCTTTCTCATTTGGATGAATTTGGATCTTGCTATTTCAATTCGGATCTTAATCTCTACTTCTGGGTCCCACTTGTCATTTACTGTATATCCCAGATATTTAAATCGGTGTACTCTTTCAATACGTTCGTCTTCAATATGCAGGTCGATATGTTGAAATTTTTTTTTACTGATCACCATAAATTTAGTTTTCTTTCTATTGATCTTCAGTCCAAATCGGCTGCCAGTTGTATTAACTCTATGTAGCATCATCTGTAAATCTTCGATGTTATCGGCCAGTATAATAGTATCATCTGCATATCGAAAATTACTTATTGGTACGCCATTAATCTTGATGCCCTCATTGTACTCTTCTAGTGCCTTTAGAAATATTTGTTCCGTGTACAGGTTGAAAAGCAGTGGCGAAAGAATACAGCCCTGTCTTACCCCTCTAGAAATGTTTATGTTTTCACTCACCATATGTCCATTCTTCATGTAGGCTGTTTGATTCCAATATAGATTTTTTATAATCTGGATGTCCTTAGTGTCAAGTCCTGAAAGACGTAATAGTTCTATGAGTTTGTCATGTTTGATAGTATCGAATGCTTTCTCATAGTCGATAAAACAGACGTAAACATCTTTCTGTTGATCCAGGCATTTTTGAATGAAAACTTGTATTGCAAAGAGGGGTTCTCGAGTTCCAAAACCGCATCTAAAACCGAATATAACATACTATTAATCAGATAATAGTTTTGTAGACCTTGATTTTCGATCTCCAGTGTGTGTGTTTTGGAACTGAACACATTTGCGAGCGAAAAATAGGCTTTACTATTATTTTTTGAATATCTGGTTTTTGTGTTTATTTATTTATTTATTGACGGGCTAAACCCTTTTTCAGTTTTTGTACAATATGTATAAAATGCAGTGAGATACATAAGCTATGAACTATGTCTATACAAAAAAAACCTGTAACAATAACACATTATTTTTATAGTATTGAACATTTATTAGTCTGAATCATACACATTACTACAAAATACATTCTACTGCAACTAGATACTATTTGTACAATGTACACAAACTGTCTCGGATTTCGCGTGTTCTAGGCACACACAATTATGACAGGTTACGCATATTTTACTTGTTTTTCTGTGTTTGCCTCTACAACACAAATGGCACCGCCGCCTTGTATTTTTTGTTCTACTCTGAGCTGAGTAATATGCAAAAGTTCTGGGAATACATCTGCCATATGACGCTTTTTATTCTTTTGGATGTACTTATTATTATGACGCCTGAAAACATATTCCTTTTAATTTCCTTACCTAGTGCCAACATATACATTTTAAGCTTACTCATATTGTGCTTTTTCTAATCAGGATATTTTAATAGCCACAGTTTGTAGGAATTAATACTTGCCACATCAATACGATGACAGAAGATGGCCATTAGCCAATCCCCATTTAAACTTGTAAAACCCTTACATAACCAGTAGGACACTCACAGTCGGTACTCTAATCCATAAAATCTAGGGGATTCCCGCATTATTATAACTTTATTAAAATGCATTGTATATGACATAAAAGGTTGACTGGAGTATTAGAAAAAAATAAATTATAAAACTGAAGTTTAAATTTAGTCTAACCCTAAATACTCTTATATGCATAATTTTTATCAATAAAATATATAAACCACAGATATATGAAAGATGGCCGATTAAAATTAAGATATGTGAAGTAACAGCCAAAAATTGTGCTTTGGGGTCAAAACAGACCCCCGTCAGTCCGATGAAGGTTATGGTTATGTTGAGCAAAGTGATCACACGGCAGCTTGTTAACATTGTTACTATTTCTTTTTTTTTGTATTGTAATAAAAGTACCTCTTTACTTTCAATTGTTGTTTCCCCTTCGTATTTTAAGAGTTCATTTGGTAAGCCATCGGATCTTGGCATATCTTGTCCACTCTTTAGTTTTAAGTTATTTCATCTTTGCGATGTATATTGATCTTATGTCTTCTTACAGGTCGATAAACAACAAGCTTTATTAGAAGCGGATGATCCAGTATCCCAACTTCATAAATGTGCATTCTATATGAAGGATACAGAACGAATGTACCTCTGTCTATCCCAAGAACGAATCATTCAGTTTCAAGCCACACCTTGCCCCAAGGAATCAAATAAGGAAATGATCAACGATGGAGCTTGCTGGACCATTATATCCACAGATAAAGCAGAATATCAGTTTTATGAGGGAATGGGCCCAGTACGATCTCCTGTTACTCCAGTGCCGATAGTACACAGTTTACATTTAAATGGCGGAGGGGATGTCGCTATGCTCGAACTTACTGGTGATAATTTTTCTCCTTCACTGCAAGTTTGGTTTGGAGATGTTGAAGCTGAGACTATGTATAGGTAAGAATATATTTTTTAAGTGCTTTCAGATATTGCATTCAGTGTGAATCAAAGTGTTAGGTTAAGTTATAATACATTTGGACATAAAATGAACCAAATTTATGTGTCTTCGCATTTTGAAAATATAAAATGAAAAATTTTTATCTACTTATATTCGTATGCGAGGTGTGTCCGTATCCGGAATTCTCGTTTTTGACAAAAATAATTATTTATTCGTCTAAATTAATGTTTTCTCCTTCAAAGTAGTCCTCATCAGATATTATGCACTTGTGCCAACGTTTCTGCCAATCCTTAAAACGCTTCTTAAACTTGATCTTTGGGATAGCCTTTAGTTCTATCAGCGATGCACTTTTAATGTCATCTATTCTTGCAAACCACGGACGACCCTTTAAAGTATTCTTTATTTTGGAAATAGAAAAAAGTCACATGTAGCCATGTCTGGCGAATATGGAGGCTGGTGCATCATTACAGTATTGCTTTTGGCCAAAAATTCACGAACAAGCGTTATGAAGCGTTAAATGAAGTGTTAGCTATTGCATTGTCGTGATGCAAAAGTCATGAGTTGATTTTCCACATATCCGGTCTTTTTTTCGGATTGCTTCACGCAAACGCTTATACCACTCGTAAACACTTGTTTTTTCTTATAGCATGTTTATCATAGGCCTTTGTTAACATCTCATACACTTTGGTATAGTTTATTTAATTTTTACGCACAATTTAATACAAATTCTTTGATCCATTTTTTAAATAAATGAAAATCGGTGAGCTCATAAGATTCTTAGAGGTTGCCACAGACAAGGTAAACAATGAATATAGTTTCAAATTTTTATATACTTTTGGAACATGTATACCAACATAATAAAAAAAATTGTAAATAATTTAAATAATTCTCTTATGTACTGTTTCCCATATAGTGTTATCGTAGCGGATATTTTTTTGAGGGTCTATGACGTGGATTACTTTTTTTCTTTACACTAAAATTCTGATTCGAGCGTCACCGAACTAGCGCCACAAGATGGTGTCGTCACTACTCTCGATCAATTCGTTTCTAGTTATCATAGAAAGTTTAAATTAAAAACTGCAAGAAAAATCAGATTGAGCTCACAATGGTATGGGAGCAGCCTTAACACTACTTTGTTTTGGCTTTTTGCCATCTCATCAATGATATATTTATTATATTGTCCCTTATGTTCCTTAACGATAGCCAGCAGTTGCACTTTTAACGTGGAGTCCTCAAACTCAATATTTTTTGATTTCAGCCTCGCTTGGATGTCAGCTTTTTTAGAAGTAGTAGTTGGAATTATTTCTAATTTTCTGGAATGATAAGACGCGTTGTCCAATACGATGATGGATTTGTTTTCTAATCGGGGCAGTTTATTTTTGAACCAATTTTCGAAAGATTTTCCGTCCATCTCTTCATGGTAGTTCCCACTTTTTTTTTATTCAAACACTCACAGCCCTTCTGGAACAAATCCATCTTCACTGCCAATGTGACATATTATTAGTCTTTTTTCCTTTTCCTGAAAATTTTATTATTTTAAAATTTACTTGAAGTGAAAAAAGAATTACCTGCAGGATTTTTTAATCCCGTGGAAAGTCCATCTAAAAACACTTGATTGTAAGACGTTACCGAATTGTCGACCCATACTTTAGATTTGGTGTGACCAGCGTTTAGCTAAGTCTCGTCTAAGTAGTAAATTTTGCGGTTTTCATTTCTGTAGGACTTAATTTTCATCAGAAATTCTCGTCTCCACAAGATAATTTCGTCCCTGTCTATCAAAATGCTGTTTCGCTGACGACGTTGAAACTTAAAATTTATTTCTTTCAATAGTTTAAAAAACGTAGTTCTTTTGAAGTTAGGCAAAACCGGATCTTCATTAAAAACCCTCAGAACTTTGTCAATTGTGGGTATTTCATTTCGAAAAAATAATTGATGGATTATTCTTCTTATTGCTTCTCTATCAAATTCATCTAGCGAGGTAACAATACTTTTACAATACTCAACTGATTTTGGTGTCGACAATGTTCCCGTAATTTCATATTCATGAACCACATTGCTTTTTTTAAGCTATATTTTTTCTAAGAATACGTTTTTCTATCAAATACTTACTTTTTGAACCATTTGCGGAAAACCATCTAAAAACGTGGTTTCTTTATTGAAAAATGATCATATTCACTCGCAATTAACTCGATAAGTATTGACTTTGTGCAAAAACGGTATAAAATAAAAGTTGCTTAGAATTAGTCAGTTTATTCACTTCTGGACTTATTTTGAACGCATGTTTTTTCACAGCCGAGAAAAGCTAAAACTCACCCCCATGACAAAAGCATACATCGGTACAATATCATTTGTTTTCTTTACCATTAGCTATGTATACCTATGCCAAATTTCATGTCAATCCAAGCGGTTCTTTAATATTTACAGCAAAAACCGTGAATAAATGGACTAAAAAGGAAATAAAACTTATCGAAACATCAATATATTAAGATATTGGTTTCTCTTACCTTTATTAAAGTGATTACCGCAATCTATTTTTACTTTTGATTAAGAAATACTTTGTTTTTGGATACTAAAAGTTCACTACACACTATAAAACTTAATAATAAACACTTAAAGTAAACTCTAAAAAATAACACGACCAGTAAATAACTTAACAATAACTATAACCTATAACACACAATATATTAACTTAAAAACCAACACCATACAATTTGAATTTAAACAGATTAACAAGTTTGGACCTGTAAAATGAGAATCCGTCTGGCTTAAGGCAATCAATTATATTTAATAGCCTCTTGACGAATGAGAGGGCGAATATCAACACGTGCGTTTATTTACAGTTGGGAATTTGCTGAACAAATGAATCTGCCGTTCCAATTTTTTTGTTTCAAGGTGGCGTTTGCGTGGAAGTATGTTTCTTTATTTTTTTGACATGTCTGGATTCGATAAGTTCTCCTTATGTGGAATGACGTAACGACGGAAAGTTATATATTTTAAAAAATCGACAAGGAAAATATATATATATATATATATATATATATATATATATATATATATATATATATACCACGTATCACAAAAAAGAGGTTAAATTTTTGTAAATGGGTATATTTAAAATTTTTTTCCATAATGGTTACAAATCTCCTTCTTTAAAATTTTGAGTTGAAAGGTGTTCCTTAAGGTGGCTGGAACATTTCTTGGAGCTTTGATTTTACAAAAGGTTGGAAAAACTTTGTAGTTAATACATTGTGAGATGAACCATATATCCAACTTGAGAGTACATCTTTTAGTGGCTAAGCGCATGTATTGAAGAGCCAAGTTGGCCAAGTTTTTTTAGTTTTTGATGCGTTTTCAGTATTTCAGTTTATATAAGTATTTTTTTTATTTCAGATGCCAAGAAAGCATGCTTTGCGTAGTACCCGACATATCACAATTCCGAGGAGAATGGCTGTGGGTACGGCAACCGACTCAAGTACCTGTTTCACTGGTCAGAAACGACGGTATTATCTACGCCACTGGACTGACATTCACGTATACTCCAGAACCTGGACCTAGACCGCATTGTTCTTCTGCAGATGAAATAATGAGGCAGGCGCAAAGGAATCAAGGGGCTGCGCAGGCGCAGTCGCAACCTGCCATTACAGAAAATGCTTGGAATTCGCATGGAATGCATTAGTCAAACACGAACTTTCTTTAGCTCGAAAAATTGTAGCAATAATGGAAATGGTGAGTGAAAGCATTTCGAAGTCTTCGGAAATAAGAATTATACTGTGAAATTACTTATTTTATATACAATTTTTGGTTTTAGTAATTCTCTATAAACCATATCCAGAAAGATAATAGGTACATTGAGAAAGTTCTATGCATAATTGAAAAGGTAGTTTATAACCACCTTTTAATTTTCTAGAAAGCTGTTGCATAAGTGAGAATAATCTTTGTTAGCATAACATATTCCAAATTACCCTGAATTATCACCAAACACACATGAAAGAGTATGGAAATTTATATGCATGCACAACAAAATGTTCCATTACTTATGATAATCATCATCATCTTTGGCTCGACAATCCTCTGTGGATCTTGGCCTGCTCTAAGATTAGTCGTCATTCTGTTCGGTTTTTGGCAACATGTTACCATCTGATTTTTAATATTCGTAAGTCGGTTTCAACTCCATCTAACCACCTAATTCGCGGTCGGCCTTTGCTTATTTGATTGTGATGATAATAACAAGTTTATAAATGAAAGTACCTATAATTAAATATTATGTTTATATGGGATTAAGTCACAATATATTGTAACGAAAAGTATCATTTTAACAGCTGTTTGATGTTTCGATGTCCACTCCGGAAATCTAATGCCTAAAATGCCTAATTAACTGTAAATATGCCAGAATGTGTGAGCCACATCTTGATTTACCTATAAGGGTATTACAATGTTCTCTCTCTCTCTCTATATATATATATATATATATATATATATATATATATATATATATATATATATATATATATATATATATATATATATATACTTCATCTAATTTAGATAACGACTTACGTCATTATCTACGTCAGAGATCGAAGTTGACATAGTTGCCAAAGTATAAAAAAATCCTGACTCCATTTTAAATCAAATAGATTACATAATTATTGCAAAAGTATTACCATCTCTTTACAACGACTATTTAAATTCTTACGTGACATTTTTGAAATAAAACACACTAATTTTGTTCTAAAAAGAACAGATTTTATTAAATAGTTAAAAATATAAAACAAGAGATATTCACTTTAAAATTCAAAATAATGAAGTACAAAAAGTGTCAACACCGCAACTGTCAAATAAGTGTTACCAATTTATGCCAAAATTTTAGCTTTGTTCGATTACAGTTACAGTGTGTTCCGAACAAATGTTCTTGATAAAAACGCTTTATAATGCATTTATACAAATTAAATGAAACATATTATTGTGTATTTCTATAAGTTAACATTAATAGAAATTTTTAAATATTATTTCTACGCGTATATAATAAAATATGTCTAGTGGCTGTAATGCCAGTGTACTCGGTAAAGTGATTCTAAAAAAGAACACACCTACACCCTAAATATTTTGTGTTGGTATCATGTAACGTCACAGGCTATGACGCCGATGACGTGCATCGTTATATAAATTAGATGAAGTGTATATATATATATATATATATATATATATATATATATATATATATATATATAACCTAGAGCTAAGATTAATATTATTACTAAAATTAATATTAAACTCACCAGTCTTCCGGGTTGAACCGCGTCGTAATCCATTTTGCCAAGCTTTCGGCATCCTCTCTGATATGCCTACCTCAGGGCTTCCGAGGTCTCAGTCTCCCGAGCCCCCAGACACTACTACACTGTTCACTATTCACGGCACGATCACTACTGCCGTGAATAGTGAACAGTGTAGTAGTGTCTGGGGGCTCGGGAGACTGAGACCTCGGAATCCCTGAGGAAGGCATCAGAGAGGATGCCGAAAGCTTGGCAAAATGGATTACGACGCGGTTCAACCCGGAAGACTGGTGAGTTTAACATTAATTTTAGTAATAATATTAATCTTAGCTCTAGGTTTTATTGTACTAACCGCGGAAATCTTTCCGAACATATATATATATATATATATATATATATATATATATATATATATATATATATATATATACAGTACATTATGTTTTAAATCAGATAATCAGATATGCAGTGGTTCTTTAAAGCAATAAGAGCGTAGATTTTTTTGTAAATAACAAGTCTGTTTACACGCCCGCAGTAAAATAATAAAATAGTTTTGTGGTGGTAATTCTGGAAAACAGTGTGTAGATTTATTTTCTAGGTTTTTTGAAGGGAGACCAATTCCTTGCGTACATTTAGTTCATAATATTGTTAAAAATTTTGGGAGTTCTTATTGCCTCAAAAATTGCAGGAAAGTCACGCTCAAGAAGTGTCACCAGAAAAAGTTGAGGAAAGAGAATACTGGGATACACAAATTTGTGTAACAATCAAGGTATATTCAACATGTTCTAGTAGAAGCGTTGCTAGAGAGTTAGATGTTAACAGTGTTACTGTAACGAAAATATGGAAAAGGCAGTGTTACAAGAATTTTAAATATTCTAAAACGCAGAAGCTTTATCCAGACGAATGAATCTTCTGTTTCGTTAGTTGAGAGACACAATCCTTCCAATACGAGGTATTGGGCGCAATGTAAATCATTACATTAAAAAATAAGTATCATTAATCGAGATAAAAAAATTTTACAAAGTTTTATTATTTATTTGTACATTTCAGAATACATAAAACCGCTTTTAGTTAATATCGTTCTTATAAATTCTAATAAAATTGAGAAAGTTTTTAATGTATAAAGGACTCTCCTCGTCGAGTAAATGGACTCTTCCAACTATTTCATGACGATCGTTTTAGCATTTTACTATAGACAACAATTTATACAACGCCAGTAAAGAAGCTTTGCTTCAAAAATTGGTTAAACTCGGTTATAGATATGTTTCCAATCTAAATGGGTTACACCTTTGGGTCATGTATATGCATATAAGAAAGACAGATTATAAAACCAAATTGAAAGTGTTATTTCTTATAATATCAATAAAATTGAAAACTAGGACTGTTGTTATCATTTATAACATTCTTATATTTGAATTTATGACTAAAATAACTTTATTCAAAAATGAACAAAAATGTAACTAGGATGAGTAATTTTATATTTATATAGTTTTTATTTCGAATAATTTCGAGCTTGCGTGTTTATATTTTGACAATTAAAATGATATTTATATTATAATTATACTTTTGTTCTAGACTGGGAAATGAAATTGCAACACTATGCTCCTTTCGTTGTGGTATGACATATATAAAAATATTTATTTAATATTAATTTTCTGTTAGTGAAATGTCCGTGATTTAATGGAATTGGATTTGAACGAATTTTTAGAGATTTTGTGATTAAGCAATTGAACTAGAGCACTTTTGGCAACTTGTGGCAAACTCTCTCTCTCTCTCTCTCTCTCTCTAATCGATTGTTCTCTCTCTGACGACCGTCACTAGGAACAGTGAAACTGTAATTTTTCAAATAACTTATGTTGTCGACTATTAACCTTCATCGGATGGGCCTCAGAATATTACACAAAATACGGGCCGAGGTCTGAATGGACGTCATTCTTAAATGGGTGAACAATGCTCATTGTTCACCCATTTAAGGGTGAAAAAAACTAGTTAAAAACCACACAACACAATATTTCTATAGTATTAAACATTTATGAGACTAAAGCATACACATTAATACAAAATACATTCTACTGCTGACGTTAACAGACTAAATAACAACTACATACTATTTGTACAATGTTCACAAACTATCTCTGATTTTGGGTATTCTAGACATACAAAATTGTTACATTTTACACATATTTGACTAGTTTTTCTGTCTTTGCCTCTACAACACACATGGCACCGCCCCTTGTATTTTTTGTTTGTTCTACCATGGGCTCAGTAATATTGAAAAGTTCTGGGAATACATCTGTCATATGACGCATTTTATTCTTTTATTAGAAATAAAAATATCACATACATCTCTTATTGGGCCAGTTTATCTACTGATTTTCATTCTTGTCTGGTTTTAAAATTGTTAAAACATATAAATGAAGTCATTTGTTTCAAACTATCTCTAGACATAGCAACTGGTATTATAGGACGACTGTAAGTAATATCGTCACACCAAATCATATCGATTGCCTCTTTCAGTCCATGAAAAGCTCCAAGTATAAGCAATACTTCAATATAGGCCTTAATCTCTACAGAATCAACGCAAATATACACTTTAGTTTTATTTGGGTTTTCACTATTCCATTTATCGTAATACGCTTGAGCCTTCCGATAATTTTTCATTACAGTTATGTTTAGAATTTCTTCTGAAAAAACCAGGAGGAAAGCGTTTTTGATACTTGATATATCACTGTAATTTCTAAGTCCTAGAGACTTTTGTGTTTTTTGGCAACCTAGATCACTCAGTTCCATCTTTAGATACATATACCGGTAAGCCTTCGGAGTCAGTAACTGTTGGTTAATTTTACTTTATGCTTTGATCAATAATAAGGCCATTTTCTTCTTGCACCCTTGTTACATTGTCTTCATCTTCTAAATCACTTACTGTATCGTCATTGATATCAAGCTCTGGATCATCACTTTCAAGTAAACGTAAAAGTTCATCTTCACCAGTTGCTTTCGGCTAGATATAAATGAAACGTAACTCATGTTCAGAATTTTATGCACTATTCACAAATACGACAAGAAACCAACTGACACTAGAAAACTATAATTCAATATATTTATATTATTTCGTTAAATTTTATCACAGCTCGGGGAATTCCCCATTTAAACATGTAAAAACCTTACATAAAACGATAGTATACTCATAGTCGGTGGCCGGGGTTATAGGAGACCCTAGCCTATAAAATTGAAGTTTAAATTTAATCTAACCGTTAAATGTTCTTGTAGGCATAATTTTTTATCAATACAGTATATAAACTATAGATAGATGGAAGACTGTCGAGTAAAAATTAAGATCTGTAAATTAACAGCAAAAAATTGTGATCTGGGGTCAAAATAGACTCTGGCCAGTCCGATGAAGGTTAAAATCAAATTAATTTTTTAAAATTTTATTAGAAATGCTTTGGATGA